TTCCACCCTTTTATTCTGAGGTAGTGTCTGTCTTTGTCACTGAGGTGCGTTTCTTGTATGCAGCAAAATTCTGGGTCTTGTTTGTGTATCCAGTCTGATAGTCTGCGTCTTTTTATTGGGGAATTGAGACCATTGATGTTAAGAGATATTAAGGAAAAATGATTGTGGCTTCCTGTTATTTTTGTTATTAGAGGTAAAGTTATGTTTGTATAGTTATCTTCTTTTGAGGTTGTTGAAAGATTACTTCCTTGCTTTTTCTAGGTTGTAGTTTCCCTCCTTGTGTTGGCATTTTCCATCAATTATCCTTTGAAGTGCTGGGTTTGTGGGAAGATAACAGCTGGCCTCTTGAACCCACACTAGCAGATGCTGTCTATCTGGAAGGGTGAGCCTGAGGCCTCAGGCCCTTCACATCACATCTCTGCTGGAAAAGGGGCCAGATTATGGTGAGCATCCCTTATCCGCAAGGGTGCTCTCACAGAGGAACTTTGATTTTTAATGAGAAGTCCTTTCCCCAAGGCTGAGCATTGCAGCACAAAACCTGTGTGGCAGAGGCAGTTGTAGGTGTTGCTGGCCTCTGGCTGGAAGTGTAAAGCTCAGTGGCTGGACGCAAGGGCAGGTGTGCAGATAGATAGGAGGTCAGGACACTGTAATTATTGTTTAGCCAGTGACAGCCTGGCACCAGGAACTAAAGCCTCGCTCACATGGGATTGTTATAGCACTCATTTTCAGGAAGCAAAGCTGATATGCCAAATAGCTGTAAAATGTCAGAACAGAGACTTCCTGAACACTTTGAGGTTTTCCACTCAGAAAAAAATGGAAGTTATCAAAATAGGAAGCTGTTGAGCGTGCATGCAGACTCTTGCTATGTCACATACAGCAAGTGTGATATGTGGTTTTCATAATCTACTTTTTAAGTTTACTCATTCCTTTTAGTATCTCAAGGTATAGAATCAGAGATACCACAGTCACAAATGACATTTTTAACTTGTAAAATTGTGTGATGATGCCTAATTATCTTATGGAAATACAGACTAGGAATCTGGCCCCACTTCACCAGACATGAATTTCAAGTGATTCCTCTCTTGTAGTCAGTGTCATGATGTCTCTGTGAATCCCTCCTGTCATTACATCACTGGTTGCCACTAGTGGGTGGCAAAAAAAAAAGACAAAAAAAAGAAAAGAAAAAAAAGTCTTATATTGCTCTATTAGGGTTTCTGCAGTTGATATTGAAAAACTGGTCCAGTGTGTCGCAGCAGGCGACTCATGGTGCATACCTGTCTTTGTGTCCCCTTCAGTGAGCTGTATTGTGGGTTTGTGTGCTTTGTAACCTGTTAAACAGAAAGAAACACACAATCGAAGATTCCAGGAGCACTAACAGCTGCAAGTCACAGAACTGGAGTGTAACCTGGAAGCTTGCCTGAGGGTTTCTGCTTCTGTTCTACTTTTCATTAAGACTGGAATCAAGCTTACACGTGAACTATTGGTAATTTAAGTATCCTTTTGTGTCATTTTTGTGTAAAACTGTCTAATTTGAAAAAATGTAGGTTATGAAAAATAAAGATTTAGGCACTGTTCAAAAAAAATAAAAAAAATAAAATTCAAAGTCATCTATACAAATTCAACACCATCCACATCAAACTTCCAACAATATTCTTCAGAGAATTTGAATTACTTTCATTATTTGAAAGCGTTTTCCAAACTTTAAGATCTTAGGTTAAGTAATACTAACCAGTATTGATTAATTCCTACTATTGGAGACAATTGCTCGGCAGTCTTGTCAAACTATGCTTTATGTTGATGAGTCTTCACTAAATGGCCAGAGCTTAGGAATCTCCTGGTCTAGTTTAAGATTTGATAAAAGATTGGCTAATTCTTCTTTGGTAATAAGTCTTTCCTTTGAAAATAATATTTAGCTGTTTTGTTGTTTTCGTTGTTGTAGTTTTTGGCTTTGTTGTTTTACTCTTCAATCGTACAGACCAGAATTCCACTGACATTTAATGATTTAACTTATTGACATTGTCTGCCCCTAGATCATTGGCAGGGTGGCAGTTGTGTCTCATGTGCCTCAGTAGGTGGCAGAGAAGAGAGAGGCTATGTGTAAACTCAGTGTTGTGGTCTGAGAACATCTGAACAATGAAGAGTAAAACACAGGACTGAAGGAGTTGAAGGGGATCTCAACCCCATAGGAAGAACAAGAATACTAATCAACCACAACCCCCCCCCCACACACACACACACACAGTGCTCCCAGGGACTAAAGCACCAACCAAAAATACACATGGAAGGACTCATGACTGCAGCCTCATATGTAGCAGAAGATGCTCTTGTGGGATATCAATAGGATTGGCCTTTGGTCCTTTGAAGGCTCCATGCCCCAGTGTAGGGGAGTTGCAGGAAGGGTAGGCTGGCGTAGGTGGGAATGTGGGAAAACCCTCATAGAAACAGAGGAAGGACAGATAGTATATCGGGATTTTGTGGTGGGTGGGAAAACTGGAATGGGGATAATATTTGAAATGTAAATTAAGAAATTGTCTAAGAGGGAAAAAGTGAATCTAAAGCACCCTGTTAAAAGCAATCCTGAAATGACCTTGTTCTGTGTAGGGCTAGATTGGAATCAGTGGTGGGAAGCAAGCTGCAGACAAGAAACCCTGCCTGTTACAATGGACTGTGGTTAGAAATGAGCCTTAGACAGAAATCTTCTGAATGGGGCAACAGGCAGGTGCAGGCAAGGAGAAATCGGGAGACAACCATCAGTCAATCCAGAGCCAGGCAGCCCAGGCAGAGTTCTAGACTGAGATGCTCATTAGTCTGGCTGAAGGTCCAGCAAAGACCAAAAAGGGGCCCCAGCTGAAGAGGAGGACCAGAGAGCTGACACTATTACTGTGGCTATAGAGTACTCACAAAAAGGGGTCTATCATGACTGCCCTCTGAAAGACCAAACAAGCACCCGGAAGTCTCAGTTGCAGATTTTACACTCAACCAGTGACCAGAAGCTGCTGACCCCTGTAGTTGACTTAGTGAAAAGATGGAAGAAGCTGAGGAGTAGGGTAACCTTGTAGGAGGACCAGCAGTCACAAATAACCTGGAACCAGAGATCTCTCAGACACTGTACCACCAATCGGCCAGTATAAACAAGCTGATGTGAGGCCCCCAACACATATACAGAATGTGGACTTCCAGGTGTGGATTCAGTCAGAGAAGGTGCACCTAACCCTCAAAGGACTCCAAAGAATGGGGAGGATTGGTGGAGTAGGGGTTTAGGAGGGTGGTTGGGGACCTTTTCGGGGAGACAGATGGGGAGCAGAACAGTATGTTAAATCATCAGAGGGTGAACATGGAGAGGGATAAAAAATGGAGTGCAAAAGAAAGGTTAAATAAAATTTAAAAAAAGAGTCAAGAGTTACAGATCAACTTTTTATTCATAAGAAATCAATTTTACAAAACAAGTTTTAATATGAAGATTAATATGAACTGTGAAAATCGTTAGCAAAATCAAAATCAATAACAAGAACATGTAATATCTCAATAACATAAGAAAAAACAAAACCATGCAAAAGAAAATTTCAACGAAAACTCTAACAGAAAAAATTGTGAGGTGACATTCCCTCACTGTACATTTAGCAGCACAGACTACAGCCAGTTTCCCCACTTGAGATCTTGCTGGTACTGCAGTCACCTCAGTTCTCTCTCAAGGGGTTACACAGGAAAGAGAAAAAGACCCTGAATCAGCCTGGATGTCTCACTGGCTACATAGTTTGGGCCCAATCACTCTGCTGAAATGATCTATGAGGAAGGAGATTCATCCAAACAAGTCTGTGGCTGTTGAGGAGGGAGCTCAGCAGGGGGCTCCTGAGGTGGCAATTCATTCTGCAGGAGGCTCTCCTGCTGGGATGTGGCCAATTCCAGCTCTCTTGCAGCTTCTGAGACCTAGGAGAGGAAGGCAGTTATTAAGACACAGGCTTGGTGGGGACATGCATGTCAGATGTCAGCTGCTGCCTCCCACCACCTCAACTAGGCTTCAACATTGATCTTTTAACTGAAACCCTTGCTGCTAAATCTGCAAGCAGGGCAAAATAGCAAGCAAAGCTCAGAAACACATGGGCTGACAAGCTGCCACTCAGATTTCTATCAGTGCAAACCAAGACCTGGCCAATGGGAAGAGACCTCATTGGGCTGCAGGAGAAAAGAGAAGGCCACATGCCACCCAGCCCACTGACAGTGAGAAGCACTCATTTGATAGTTGCATTTGGCTTTACTCCCTGCAAGTGATGCCTACCTGGGAGGTCACATGCCCCCTGCACAACTCCTGTCACAAGACATAGAACTTTCTCAAAGCTCTGCTTAGCAACCCTCCTATCATGAGGACATGCAAGAGTGTGACCTGTCATTCATCTGTTATCCTTTCTAGACTGCAGCTTCAAGCAGAGTAGCAAGGTACACTTGCCAATAATTCATTGTCTCCCAAGAGGTGAACTTTCCAGAATAGTTGTGCATAGACAAAGTAATGAACAACTATATTCCATGAAGTGGGTGGCTGGTTGGGAGTGTGGCTTTAAAAGATGGTGGATGAATGCAAAGATGGATCCAATAGGCAAATGTTGACAGACAGTGTTAGTCTGAATAAGCTGCTTGTCCCTACCTGATATTGCTGTTTCTGGAGGTTGCTGGTCTTCTCCTGTTCTTCTTCAACAGTCAGATTCATCTCAGTCAAGTACTGTTGGAGGAGGTACCAATCAGCCTTCACTTCCTTGTAATCCTGCTTCACTTGGACCAATGACTTCTTTACAACAGAAGACTGCAACAGGAGCCTATTGTGCAGGTTTCTGGAAACACACCCTGCATATTAAGATCCTGCAGACTCCTCCTGCCTTTCCTACTTATAGGTGCTGTTACCCCACCAGGATCCAGGTTCCCATGAAGACATAGAGCAATACATTTCAGTATATCCATGACAGCTGCACAAACAGCAAATAGCCAATGCAGGTAAGAACTAATCATGTCTTCAGCCCAAGCTCCAATAAGGCTCCATGTCTCTCCAAAAGAAAGAGGTATCTCCATCTATCTGTCTCTCCCAAAGAAAGAGGTATCTCCATGGGAGCCCAGTGTATTGCAGCAACTTCAATTAGTAGGGTGCAAATACCCTCAGTGGAGGTCAGGAGAACTAAGGGGAGGGAATTCTACCCATGTGTTCCATCACACTCACATCTGTAAAACACTGCCTGAGCCCCAGAGGTCCAGTACTGCAAAAGAACCCTCTCATTTTGTTATCTTAGAGGCTCCTCAGGATGCCTGGATAACCATGGGAGGGCTAACTTTCACTTGCAGATTGAAGAAACCTGAGTCCAAAGGGCCCAAGGTACACTGATGGTTAAGAAACCGAAGGGAGAGACCAGACCTGCAGACTCTCCATTCCAGAATCAAAGGAATACAGAAATGGCCATTGCACAAGTGGTAGCCTCCATGACCTGTACTTACCTATAGAAGTTAATCTCCTTCTTGTGTTCCTGGAAGTTCTCACAGGAGTCAATGTTCTCCGTCTCTAATTTGTTCAGGAATGACATGACCAGCTTCTCCTTTAACTTCAATTTTTCATACAGTGGATTTGGCCTGTAATAGGGTCTGGCCCCAGGAAGAAAGAACTCCATGAACATGGCTTTTAGTAACACATGAACTCAGGCTGGGTCCTGTCCTGGAAGGCCAATTTCTTCCTTCTACATACTCGAATCTTCTCCACCTTTGGAAACTTGATATCCTGGACAGCAGAAGTTTGGCTTCCAGAT